TCATTAATTTGTTGTTTGCATGGTATATATCAAATACATTCTTATAGTACTGTATATATGTAGACTACTTATTTGATGTGTATGTATGCATATATACATTCTCTTTGAGGCATAACGTATAATCAACAATTATATTATTACACATTTTGTACCATATGTTTCTATTAAAACCATTGCGCCGTTTTTTGCAGGAAATATTTACGGATGAGTGCATCATGAAAAACAAACAACAATTTGATATACGAATGAACATTATTTTACAAACGATTGTATTTCTTTGTTAATTCAAGAATTTCAAATTTTGTAATGAGCTCTGAGTAGATGGTTTCAGAAACCCGACATGTGTGCAATTTTTTTTCATTCGATCTTATTAACAAACAAAATTAACCTTTAACTTTATATATTAGTTAACTTTGTAAAATAACCACACAAACTCATGATTCAAAGCCAAACTAATGTTTTCGGATTGTGACTTACCCGCTGCATCGCGCGGGTACACCATTTCTTATATCAATTAATTGGGTTGCAAGGGTTGTACAAATACACAAGGTTGTAAAAGAAATATACCATATATATATATATATATCATTGATTTTATGTTCAAATTAATTCGAATGATAAATAATCAAAATGAACACAGTACCATTCCACATATTCATTCAGATGATTTCTCCATTTATAATATTTTGAATGATATGTTCATCAATAAACTCCGTTCACATGATGTTCATATGTGAAACAAATGCATTAATACCCAAGTAATTCGTCAAAGGTTTATTAATGGGCAATTTTGATAACTACCGACTTCTGTTTCTTATCATATAAATTTCATTCGTGAAGTAATACCCAGTACATAAGTGAACAAGTAAAATCCGATTTATTTTATTTTCCAAATGATGAAGGAGATTCTCAGAAACTGAAACCGATGCATAATAAAAACTCTTGATCTTTTCCAATTTTACTCTGTCCACTATTTTTTATTACGACATAGCACACGTTCATTTTACTATTATTACAAAAATGTCACTGATACTTTAATCCATAGACTGAATAAAATAAAGGTCATGATTAATTCACATAGTTAACACTAAACTCTTAAATATATGATTAACAAATGAACCAACCCCTATATATTTGTATATCTATACTATATTATAAAACATTTGACAAAAATCTTAAAAACCACTTTTTGTGCATAAAGTTCTTTTTATTAATGCGTATTACTTAAAACTCAATATTGCAAGTAGATTGTGCGTAAGTACAACTTATTAAAGCTCCATATCTGAATTCGTGTAACTAACTGCAGATAAACATAATCAAATACGGGATAAACATCTCATTTTATATACAAAAAATCTAAAATATAATTAAGATAATCATTGAGTTCTAACAGAATACTTAATTATTATCTTTATAAAATATTATATTATTAAACCAAAAATAAATTATTTCGTTATTAAACTTAAATNGTTATTAAACTTAAATTAAATTATAATTAAAAAAATAAATAAATTACATAAAAAATGAGAACTTTTAAATAGTTAATTTGATTTTAGCATTGATATATTTTTTTCAAATTATTATGATATTTTCAAATTTATATATATTTTTTAAAATAAATTCATTAGTGCTTTCTTAAAAACACATAAAATCTTATTATAACATCGACAATGACAAATAATAAAACAGAACAATAAAATCAAGATGTGTCTCGTTGTATTGCACGATTAGTCTTTTAATTTTTATAAAATAGTGATTGTTGTTTGAATTCAATGAAATTATATATTCAATTTTAGCATTAAATATACGAAGGAAAAACCACATTTTCCATGAATGGATGGATAGAAATGTCCGATGGTTCTCTTGACCGAGTAAAAGTGACGTGCCCAAAAAGCAATGTACCACTAGACATAGCACATCGTACAACCTATTTTTGTGTTATTATGGGCCCACATTCAATAATTAAGAAGTGGAAGACTTTGGAAAAGGGGGTCTTAACGACTTTTATTTATAGTAAACTTTAATTTTGGTCCTTGTGGTTTAATGAGAAGTTTAAAATGAGACCTAAACTTTGATAACTTTACAAAGGTTCTTATTTTAATTTTAATTTGATCCATGATCACTAACACCATTAATAAACGTTCGTTAAATGAAGGGTATGTTTGTCTTTTTACTTATTCCTTTGTTTTAAGGGAGCCAAAAACATATTTTATTAAATATATTATTATATTTTGTATTGATATAATATAATATTCTTTATTATTTTTAACAAAAAAACATAATTGATAAACAGTGACAACATAAAAAAAACAAAGGAATAGATAAAAAGATAAACGTATACTTCATTTAACAGACTATTGACAAAAGACCACTTTCACAGCAAATGATAACTATAAGAATGTTTTTTACACTTATCAAAGTTCAGGTACTATTTTCAGACTTCTTATTAAACCTCAAGGACCAAAATTAAAGTTTACAACTTTTATTTATAAAAAGGTAAATGTTTGATACCTACTTTTCTGATAGAGCAAGGCAAATCGAAAAAGACATGTCTTTGAATTTACAAAATTACCCTTTTAAGTGTGGTTTGATTGTAGCAAGACAGAAACAAAATGGATTTTTTTTATAAATCATAAAAACATAACAAGATTAATAAATTACTAAATTATTTGTGTTAAATTAAAACAATAAAACGTTTCACAACTTTAACTACCTCTTTTTTGCCAGTCTCATCCGGTTATATCCAGACCATGCAGAGTCATCCTTTAACATGTTAAATGTGTGATTTTGAACATGACCAAATTTTATATTGTTTAGGGACTTTTATTAATGAATGCAAAATTACAGCTCATCTCAGTGTTTCTCTAATTTCTATCAGAAGACAATGAATACGTCTCATCATCACCTCTTTAATTTGTATATATATAGCTTTATTATCTTATACATTATTTCAAGTATATTATGTCTACGTAACAAATAGACGATTGCTAAGGGCAAGTTGGAAGTTGGGATGAGGACCACTGCATATAATGGACCTCCAAATAGATGAGTTGCCGGCCATTATAAAAAAAGTGTGCCTTTTTTCTCCTTCCTTCACGTTACATACCATTTTGTACCCTCCAATTTGTATAGCTCCAAAGTTAGGTTCGGTCGTGTTGAACAGTCTAACGGGCTCGTTAACCTGCTTGTAGGGTCGATTTTGGTTCGTTAGAGCCACAATCGTGTTTTATATATACCCCATAACAACCAAGTTCATATGAACCAGGACTTGGATCAATCGAATAATTGAATAAACCATAACTATACCTTTAATAAATGGACATGATAACCCATCTTTTGATGAGGGTCTGGAGAGTAAGATGTATGCAAAACTGTATTATAAAAGGTATAATTTACTCCAAATTAAGGGTGATCAAAAACCCGAATAACATGGCAACCCAACCCAGAAAAACCAAAAAGAAAACTCAACCCAAGTAACCTGACATATGGCCGATACAAAATTTGGCCCAAACCGCATCTGTTGGGTTAGAATTGAGTTAGATAATTTAAACTCAACTCAACTCGATAAACTCAATGTCTTTTTATACTATGAATTTAATATGATTGTTAAGTTCTTAACTAATATATGTACATTAGACATTACGCCAACTAGCAATTAACTATATTTAAATATATATATTATAATTTCAACGATAATCTTACTTTTTTATTTGCATGAATCTTCAACTTCTTTTTTGAGTTTGTTAGCTTTTTTTTCATATGTTCTCATTTTGATTTTACTTCATTTAAATTTGACTAGATTGTAAAATAATGTACCAAAGTTTTAACCCGATCAACTAGACCAACCCACCTAAGCCGCACGGCTTGGGTTAGTTGAGATTTTTAAAACCGCAAACATCAGATTGAGTTGTTCAAATTCCTCCGACCCAACCTTCAAGACTCTTATGAAACCCTACACAAAATACAGACCACTTCTTTGGTGCAAGTCTCTTTCAGTGATCTGAACCACTTCATGGGGGTTAGTGGAGGATTGCAAGAATTCTCTGTCAGGACCATTAAAAGCATCATCTACGTAAAATACAACTAACATGTTTTCATCACACTAATTGCCAATCAAGAATCTATCAAAAATAATCCTTTTAAAAAAGGGTACCAAAATCAAAGAATAACTTGGTAACCAAATCATCGTTACAAGATTTATCAATTATCGATCAAAATAAGGGGTTGGTTTTCCATTAAGTCTTGTACAGATAAAGATGTCTGTGTGGATTAATTTGTCTATGTAGATTAAGAATGTTTTTTGTTTGGAAGGGTATTTTCGTAGATGGAAAAAGGCTTGTTTTTTAATTGGGAGAGACGGTATTGGAAAAACTTGGTTTCTGCATAAAACTCTCACTAAAAAACTTACTGAATGAACCACTTTCTATGTCATTTAATCACTATCAAACAGTTATGTAGGGTTAATTGAACAAGTTGTGGGTCCTATTAAGCTGCTAACAAACAAGCCCTAAGTATAAAATAGTAAGAATTAAACATTTGTTACGCTAATAGACAAAAAAATGCAACCAAAAAAAAAATACTTTGTTGCATTTCTTTTTGATACACTTTGGCGTTCAAAAAAAATGTTAACATGAAGTTAGTTTCCTGGAATATGGTATTTATGACAATATGGGTCCATTTGTTAATAGCTTAATGAGTTTAATGAGACTCACAACTTATTCAGTCAGATGACTATTTCGTAATGGCTTATTCAGTAAGCTTTTAGGAGAGAGCTTTATGCAGAAACCAGAGTTTTTCCAAACCTACTCCTCTCAATTAAAAAACACGGTCCTTCCATCTATGAAAAAACCCTCCCAAATAAAAATATTCTCAATCTATATATACAAAATAATCTACATTGAAAGTTTTATTCATGCAATACTTAATAGCATGTTGGAAAGTCAAACATAGTGGAAACATAGCTGTATTAATGTGAACAACTAAATGATACAAACAATGCAACATTGTGAAGAAAGTATGACAAGGTCGGGTGCTTAACAATTTATAAAGCCATACTCTCTTCCTCAACAAGAAAATTGACCAAAAAAATGAGTTCACCTTGCATCAGGGAAGTCTCTAGGGCCTGTTTTCGACGTTGCTGCCCGACTCCGTTACTCAGGTTGCCTGAGAACCACAGTCCTGAACAATCGATAAGTCCTTCCAGGTACGATTTCATTGCTGCAACGGCTTTTTCGCTTCAGCCCAGTGCTCATTTCACTAATCATGAATCTCTACCGGACCTGGACCAGTCTTTTTCCAACATGAAGAAGGCTTACCCTAACTACTCGGAAACTGACCGGGCTGACCGAATCCGGGATCAGGAATACTATCAACTCTACCAATCGAGCCATGTCTGTCTTGATTACATTGGTCATGGTCTCTTTTCGTATTCCCAACAGTTGCATTCTAATGCACCTTTTTTCAATATCATATACAAGTCGGTGAATTTGTATACACAGATTATGCATGGTGGTCAAGAAGCGGATTTTGAATCCGTGATCAGGGAAAGGATCTTTAGATTCATGAATATATCATCAGATGATTACTCTTTGGTTTTCACAGCTAATCAGTCATCTGCATTCAAAGTGTTGGCAGACTCTTACCCTTTTCATACAAATCGAAATCTTTTGACTGTGTATGATCACGAGAACGAAGCTGCAGAAGCCATGATTGATAGCTGTAGAAAAAGATCCGGGAGGGTTAATTCAGCCGTGTTCTCGTGGCCTAACATGAGAATTCAGTCGAAAAGACTCAGGACGTTGGTGGTGAACAAGAACAAGAACAAGAAAAAGAAGAAAAAGGAAGGACTTTTCGTTTTCCCACTTCAATCTAAGGTTACTGGATCGAGATATTCATATCTTTGGATGAGTTTGGCTCAAGAAAACGGGTGGCATGTTTGTCTTGATGCCAATGCCTTAGGAGCCAAAGACATGGAGACATTGGGTCTCTCTCTTTTCCGGCCCGATTTCCTCATTTGTTCATTCTACAAGGTTTTTGGAGAGAACCCGTCAGGATTCGGGTGTCTTTTTGTTAAAAAATCGAGATCATCCGTGCTTAAGAACTCTGCTACAAGCACGGGATTGGTTAATCTCATTCAGGCGTCTAACCGGCCTTTATTCCTCCAACCATCTGGGAGTAGCGATAGAAGAAAAGAAGATATAGCCATGGCAAGCTCAAGCTCGTCATCATCCTCACATCACGAAGCCTTTGAAATACAAGAAATCAGAGAAATCGGTGAAGAAAAGAAGGTATTATCGTTTTCCGAGGTCTTGAAACGGGACAAGTCCCTTGACATTGCTGAATCAAGAAAAAACGAAGCTAGCAGCAGTGGGGTTAGCTCCGATATCGAGTTCCGTGGATTGGATCATGCTGATTCGTTAGGTTTGGTACTGATAAGCAGCAGGGTAAGGTACTTGGTGAACTGGCTGGTGAATGCATTTGGTAGTCTTCAACACCCACATTCGGAAAATGGGTTTCCTCTGGTTAGGATTTACGGGCCAAAGGTGAGGGTGGACCGAGGCCCGGTGGTGGCTTTCAATGTGTTTGATTGGAAAGGTGAGAAGATTGAGCCTACACTTGTACAGAAGCTAGCCAGTAGACACAACATTTCTCTTAGTAACGCAACTTTAAAACACGTTAATTTTGTGGACAAGAGTTGTGAAGAGAAGGAGAGACTAGTAGAGGTAAAAAGCATTGAGAGGGAAGGTCAAAATAGCCCGATGACCAAAAAGAAAGAAAAACTAGAACTAGGGATACCGGTGATCATGGCTACAGTTGGGTTTTTGACAAATTTTGAAGATGTTTATAGGGTGTGGGCATTTGTTTCAAGATTCTTGGATGCAGATTTTGTGGAGAAAGAGAGGTGGAGATATATGGCACTTAATCGGACAACCGTTGAGGTGTAGATTTAAGGTCAAAGATTTCATTCATCTGTTTGGTGTTCTGGAGTTCTAATTCATCGTTCAATTATTCGTACCGTCAATAGAATTTACCATAAATGAAGACCACAAAAATGTGCCCCCTTCTACATGAATCTACAAAGAAAATAAATTCAAAGTTGTGATGCACCAAAAATACATAATTGAATGGATGGATAATTACAAGTTAGTGTAGATGTCAAAACATATAACAGGAAAACGGATAATAAAATGGCAAAGACTTGTAGTTTCCAAGTGCAAAATTGAGGATTTTGTCACCAATTTACCTACATATTTCTATTTGGGGGTTATTAGAATCCATGGTCTTAGAGTTGAAAAGTACAGTCTTCATGTGATTACCAAATCTTATCTGGTCAGATGCAGTTGGCGCTTTTTTAACTTCCAACTGTCAATTTATTGCTACATATGATATATCTACATGCTCAGGGCCAAACTTTATCATCTTTCTCCCTTCTTCTACGGTTCTACCCGAAATCGGATGTGCCCTTATTCCCTTATGGTGTGTTTGGTTTGCAGGATTTGAAATAGATATGAATTCCATCTTTTATAAAAAAGGATTAAAAAATAATTAAATATCTTTTTTCTAATTGATTGTTATGGCACAAATGTTTTTTAACATATTTAAAAACATTATTACATATAAATCCTACGAAATTCCATGAAATACCAACCACCTTCGTGGGATTTTAAAATCTTATTTTTGTGGATTTCAATGAAATCCTTCGAACCAAACATGGGAATGGAATAAAATTCTATCCCACATCCAATCCAATCCTACAAACCAAACTGGACCTTAATGTTCCCATCGCACCAAGTAGACAAGTAGCATGTCTAGCATCCCTTAACAAGCTCGTTAAAACCCTAAAACCTATATAATTCTCACTCTCCCCCATCTAGTTCTCTCCTCCCATCCTCTTCCATCCAGTCTTGCCCGGTCCCATCTGCTTACCAAATTTTGTCAAGGATCACACATTGATCTACCAGTCTACCACCCACAAACCTTCAAGTATTAGAACCAAAGGTAAACAAATGAATTTAGTGCATAAAGGGCTGAACCCCCCACTTGTATCAGTTCAATGCATAATCAGTGGAGGAAGGATATGGAGGCAGTGGGGGGCCATGGCCCCCGTGATTTTATTTCTGCTTAATAGACCAGCTCCAATTAAGTAGTGTATATTTTTTTTGGTTTAAATCTTTGGCCCCTTCACAATTCATACCAAGCTTAAATTAGTCTACTGTCTTCATGATTCATAGATTCAAAGACCATGGAGCCACTTCCACATCTGTAGGAGACAAAGAGTTTTGATTTCTTCTTGAAGCCTCTAGGCACCAATTTGTGTTTAGCTATGCTTAATTTGTGCATCAAAGAACTCAAGCACATCTTTTTAACTTCATTTTTATTTTAGCTTCAATTTTTTGCTTGTAGTCGGTAGAAAGTTTGTTTGTGATTCCTTATTAGCTATTGCAAATTTGTTAGAGACAACAAATACTGAGAATACCACTAAATCTGGTGTCTCGGTTATTAAGAGCCCCAACAAAAAATCTAGAGAAGACATTAATGATTAGTACACTAAGGAGCCATTTACTAAGCGCTTACAGGCAACACTCACCACTCTCACTTACCTTACGGGTTAACATTCTTTACCATCAAAATGGATTGATGGTAAGTGTTTATAACCCGGTAACCACTTACCGGGTAAGACACATCACCCTCACTTACCAGGCAAGACTCTCAATCTTTGTCTTTCCTCTTACAGGGTAAGATTCTTGGTCCTTGTTATGTTCATTCCATAAGGTAAACTTACTCGGTAAGCACTTACCATATATGTGTTTAGTAAACAGACAAGATTCTGGTTTGCTTCATCAAATTTATAATTATCCTATTAATCATCAAGATATAGTTCATAAGCTTATATGACCAGTTGGTTTTGTTTATCGAAAAAAAAAACTCGAAAAGATCAGTTCGGAGGAAATTGTGGAAGACTGATCAATGAGTATTAATTCCAAAAAAAATGTATTTCAGTAAATTTGAATAAAAGATTAGATTCCCCCCCGCCCCCGCTCCTTTCTAGAGTCCGTGTGCCGCCCCTGCCATAATCTATTTCAGTACAATGTAAGGATGATAATCGTAGAATATCTCAGCCAGATGTAGCGCTTTCCTTCAGTGAACAGGGAGTACTAACTTAAAGAGAAGTGTCAATTTTCGATCGACATTAATTTAGTGCATAATTTCACCCAAAAATCGGTGAATTTCAGTCAGCCACAAAATCCAGAGAAGATGAAGCAGATTATAAGGGCAGCTATAAGCATTCCGATTGTAATTACTTTGCATGCACATATAAACACGCAAATTATGTGTATTTGCATTCACATATATTCCTAGAGAAAAATAAATAAAATACGATAACGATAATGAATGGAATGTGAAGAAAAGGACAGGAACTTTACCGGATCAACAATGGCAGAGAAGCAAAACCCAGAGAGAGCAATGGCGGGTGAAAATTTTGACGATGGTTTTGGGAATTTTACGATCATCAAATCCAATCCCCCTTCCCAATTTCTATTTGGGCTTAGATGTGTTGGTCTTGGGCCGGGACTTTCATCCTTGCTGGCTTGCTGATGAGGCTCCACGTGTTACAAGTTTTATGAAACCAACTATAGTGTTATTAAGCCTCGATATCTTTAGATCGTAACATCTTTAAAAAAAAAAATGTATTATGTGTTATTTTATATACTTTTTCGTCTACAGTTAGAATTTAATATGATGATTAATACATATTTATTTTATAATATATTTGTTTCATATATACTTAGTTCATACTTCATAATATGAATTTTTTTGACGTGTTTATCAAACAAAAAATACATGTAAAAAAAAAATTGTAAACTAAATATATGTTAATTAATACATTCAATACTATATATAGATGGAGAAATCCATATGAAGCGAAACTTTAAATTCTCACGTATCTTACAAATTTTGCAGTTATCAAATGATTAAGTTTGTTCTTTTGTTGTATGCTTGCAGTTTAATTAGGTTTATTGGTCTATTTGGGTTATTCGCATAACTCATTTGGATTGTTTACTTACGGCTTATTCGTACAGCACATGGCTTAATCGCACAGATATAAATGGTGTGTTATCCTCATTCAGCCACAAAAACGACACTCTTACCCCTTATTTAAAGCACCGTCTCCTTCCCATATGAGATACCCTATCTTCGATCTCTTTATGATTTTTTTGTTTTGATGTTCAAATAATTAATATTGGGGGGGGGGGTAAATCGGTCAGTTATGTTATTTAGACTGTTGGTTCAGATAAAAAAAGTAAACAACAACACTCATTTATCCAGACAGACAAATTTATTCACACAAAATTTAATAAAAAATTTGGTAAACAGCCCATTTGTTTTTGTTGTGTGAATTCAAATACCATGCCTTAATCACACGTGAATTTGAGTCGAGATATGTGTCTTGTAGATTTTTGTTGGACGATTACAATTTGAAATGAATTGGTCATGGTCAGGTTGATACATGGAAATGGGATCTGTATTTTTACGTAGAGGTCTGTGGGTCAAGTTTGTGGGTCAAGACTGAAATATATCTTATTATGTCTATCTATAAAGGTTTGAATCGTATCACTTTGATACGAGGCATTTAGTCAGTAGATACTCAAATCTAAACATCTACCGATTGTTTATAACAGTAAGATCAAGACTATGAAATAAAATTTGAATTAAGTAATTGATAAATGATATTGTTGTAAAGTTTATTGGATTATTGGTGTTGGATGGTTTCAATATTGCATTAAAAAGTGTGATGGAACTTGAAGCATATCAAACATGTGTTCTTTATGGATTGTGATTTGCATGCAACATGTTTACCATGCATTTGTCTCAAAATCTTACAAAAACCTTTATATACTTGAAAAAGCATATTTTAATTGATGTTACCTTTTTACCTAGTTAGAAAGAGGTTCCTTTAAATATAAACTCAATGAAGGTTACAAAATATACAAACTTCTCATAGCCGTTGATCAATATTATAAACGATCCAGATTGGAGTGGTGGCATATTTGAAAATTAAGGCCCAATTGAGTATATGATCGGTATGAATTAAATGTGGGTACGGGTAAAACTACTATTTTTAGTAACATCTATACTATATTATAAATTATTTGATAAAAAGTTTTAAAAACTATTCTTGTGCATAAAGTAATGTATATTATGCATATTACTTAAAATTCAATATTACAAGTAGATTTTGTTTAAGTACAACTTATTAAAAGCTTCATATTTAAATTCGTGTAACTAACTACAGATAAATATAATCAAATAAGAAAAACATCTCATTTTGAATATAAAAAATCTAAAATATAATTAAGATAAACATTATGTTGTAACATATTACTTAATTATTATACTTATAAAAAGATTTATAT